CGAAACAAAACATCTGTCGATGTCTATTCGAGAACGATTTCAAATGATACTGAAAGAAAAGAAAACAAATCTTTGCTTATCTGCAGATTTACCTAGTCTTGATGAAATTATCGAAGTAAAATGTTCACTACGAAATTTCTCTTCTAATTCTTTTTCTAAAAATAGTTATCGAAACAAATTGGACCGAATATCTGTATGTTAAAGATTCATTGTGATATCCTCAATGACTTTTCCATGGAGAAAATCCTACAACTAAAAGAGATTTCTCGAAAATTTAACTTTCTTCTGCTCGAAGATCGGTGCGATAATAGTTCTACTCCAACCCATTACTCAATTCTATGATTTTGTCTAGAAAATTTGCTGATATTGGTAATACAGTCAAATCTCAATATACAAAAGGGCTTTTTCAAATTTCTCAATGGGCAGATCTTGTCACGGTTCATATTTTACCTGGTGAAGGTATTGTGGAAGCATTAGAACAGGTAAAGTTTAACACCTCGAAGAGAAACTATTGGTTAAATCAATTTTGTTTAGGCAGCGCAGTCAATCAATGAACCACGGGGATGTTTGTTGATCGCACAAATGTCATCTAAAGGTGCACTCACGGATAATGAAGATTATGTTAAAGGTTTGTGTATGAAACAATTCTGTTTGTTAGACAAGGCCTTTATCTTCTCTTCAGGTGCAGTTCAATGTGCGAAAAAGTATTCGAATTTTGTCATTGGATTTATTTCGCAATCACGTTTAACAACTGACAATCAATTTCTTCATTGCACTCCAGGTATACACTTAAATAACACTGGTGATCAGCTTGGTCAACAATATGTCACACCTCGACAAGCTATCGACGGTCGAGGTGCGGATATTCTCATTGTTGGTCGTGCTATACTCGATTCGATTAATCGAGTGAAGACCGCGGAAGAATATCAAGAAGAAGGATATCGTGTGTATGAACAGTTACGTCATGTTTAAAAAGCGTCTATTTGTTCTTGCTTTTTATATGTTGGACTCTAACTTGAAATAAAAATGTGATAGGAAAAAATGAATCTTCTTATTTACTTATATGTCATATTCATTTTCGAGGTCAACATGTGTTTTATGTATTTTTGCAATTCAATGAGTTCTCGTTCTTATGTCAAGAGAA